GATCTCTTCTTCACTTACCTTGTCCTTCGCTCCTGCAATGCCCCTCCTGCAGTGTCCCCGGCAATGTCCTCCAGCTGATGCTGGCGTCCATCTTCTGGGTTACGTTCCCTGTGACGTCAGGATGTACGGGGGACGGAACGGTGGGAAATTTAAAAATGTGAAAAAGTGACATTCACTAAATACACTAAAATCACATAGTAAAACATTACTGTATCACACCATTTCACATACATTTTGTCCCAAGTGCTTTGTCCTGTGCCCTGCCTGCATTTTTACTGTTCTTTCTGCCTGGAAACTGAGAAATGTCCATGGTGGTCAAAAGCGGTTTTAGACCAGCTAGGGAACAGCGATAGTAAATTAGAACCACTTGCAGAATTGAGTGATAATGATTCGTGGGGAAATTCATCATCGGACACTGAAAACGATTTTGCGACTTTGCTCAGTGATGTGCGAACTTGGCGCTATATTTCAAATTTCAGTGTTTTTGGTTTGATTACATTATTGAATTAAATTTATTATTATATTATTATTTTTTATGATTTTTTATTAAATTATAATTTATGATTTCGTGTTTCAAATTTTAACATACCTGGGATGTTTACTAGACTCTTGTTCGGACAGATTTCAGTGAGTTATTCCTAAAAATTACAGACCTATAATAAAAAAAAAACATATTTCCATGCAAAAAAATGTACCACTTTGAGCACAGAAATACTGACATAATCAGACCGCTAGAGAGGTTAAGGTGGAACATGCAACATTTTCCAATAGCTGTAGCTGCAGCTGCCGCCTGCCACCCCCTCTCACTTTGAAAGATAATACAGGGAGAAGTTTCTCCATACTGTCAAATTTGAAGACAGCATGGCAGTGTGAGGCTCCTCCCACACAGCCGCGCCATTCATTCATGGACTTCCGTGATTGAATGAACTTCATGTCCCGGCAGCCTTAGCAGCTGTGAGCTTGTAGTTTTCAATAAACCAGTTAATTGAAGCTTCCTGTCAGTATATCTACTTGTACGTACATCCTATATGGCAAGCAGATATTCTGACAGGTCTGCAGGAGACCTGCAGGGCACCAGCGATCTACTGATCGCTGGTGCAATGCATTCCAGGCTCCTGTAGACAAAAATAATAAATGCACATTTTTTTTTACCTGCAAACAAATGTACATTTATTATTTTTTTCTAAAAAGTGAACTTAACTTAATCCTTTAATTGAACAAGCTGAAGTCAGAAGCTTATTGGTTATTATGCACAGCTGTACCAGATTCTGTGTGCACCAATTTTAGTAATCCCCTTTGGTTTTCTTTTTCACCATGGATAAGACTTTGCTAGGCATTATGGAACTAAGCTCCCCCCTGGTACATTTTCAGACAGGGGGTTGATTTAGTGAATGTGGTAAAATGTAACTTTGCAAAGAATACCCAACCCTGTGCAGGGAAAATAACAAAAACAGCATTTTTTTCTTGCACATGACTGGACGATGGAAGTCAGCAGAGCTTCACATCATTCACTAAGCTCTGGGGAAAATTCCATTGCAAAATTAACAGCCTATTTATCTTTATTTAATCAACCTCCAAGATGTATGTTTATATACTAGCCCATCCAATCAATTTTGCTAATACAAAGGCTTCCAAGATGACAAATCATACCCAGGCTCCCAGGCTTCCGAGCTAATTCTCCAGTGGTTGTGTCGCATACCTGAGTGAAGAGCCCAAGCTAATGAGAATGAGATCTTTTACAGTTCCCATCTGAGCACCTCCAGAAGTTGAGACAGGGACTACAAAGGTGATAAAAGGACACAGGTGGCAGGGAGCTGGAATTAAAGACTATAATCAATCAGATTACATCAAGTTTCATTTTGGGTGGAGCCAGGTCACAAGCAGAGTTTGATAACAGTCAAGCAGGAACACACTAAGGTGTCCGTTTATGAACCAGCGGTAATAGATCCCTGCTCAGTTCTCCGGCATTCTCGGAGTTCTCCTGTGAATGCAGTTTATGAAGCAGTGTAGATCAGTTCTCTAAAGGAAGGGAGAACTGGAGAACGGTCTACAAACGCTGGAAAAAACGGCTGATTTTACTATAATCTCTCGAGATTACAGTAAAAGATCAGGTCGCTGCTTAGTTTGCGGTCCCTCCGACAAACACTGGAAAACGGCTGATTTTACTATAATCTCTCGAGATTACAGTAAAAGATCAGTTTACTAAGCAGACCAAATTTGGCAACAGAGATGAGTAGCATTCATAGGCAGACATGGATAATGCAGAAGCAGGCAGCAAATGGAAAAGCAGCTGGGTCAATCAGAAGAAAGTATGTACCAATGAAGGAGTTTCAGACCAATTGATAAGAGTCATTATTTTTTTGGTTTACACTAAAATGCTGGGTCAATATTAGGGTCAAACATAAAGTTCAGGATCAAAAATTGCAGGAACTCAGGCTGAAAGACCATTCGGCAATGATCCTATGCAGACTTCAGGATTAAATAGCCCACTAGGCACTGGTATGTGTTGGATGTGCCCATACATTATGGTACTGGTGTTCATATGTACATTGTTGCACATTTAGTTACGACTGGTGCCATCTCTCTGATGGCTGGCGTAATGCTCCTTACAGGTTGCAACCATTTTTGCACCGTCCACCTCTCTGTGATCTTAGACCCATTTCCCTCCCTCACCTTCAGACCAGTTGTTCTTTTATGGTGTGTAGGGAGTGATTCCTGTCCACACAATTGCAGTTTAACTTTTTAATTTTCTTTACTGGATTGTTATTATTATTATTATCATACAGGATTTATATAGCCAACAGTTTGCTCAGTGCTTTACAATATAACGGGAGACAATACAGCAACAAAACAGTTCAATACAAGAGGGAAAGGAGGGCCCTTGCTACTTGGAGCTTACAATCTAAGAGGGAGGGGCTAGTGGTACAAAAGGTAATAACTGTGCGGGATGGACTGGTAGGAGGAATAGAAGATTCCATTATTAGCTGAGGGCAGGATAGGCTTCCCTGAAGAGAAAGGTTTTCAGAGATCACCTAAAAGTGAGCAGAGTAGGCGATAGTCTGCTAATAATAATAGTCTAATAATATTATATTATTATATTCTGAATAACAGAAACTCTTCTTTTCGAAGTTCAAATATTAGTCTCACATCATATTTGAAGTTTTCACTTTCTTTTAAGTCACTTACTTCACAAGGAGAGGACCAATTAATTTTCCTTCCCAATCCAGCTTCATGGATAAGGCACGATCGATGACCACCCTTTTATTTTGAATACATAGCACTTTCTTATACCACAGTAACTGTTCAAAATGTGCGTGTGGCTTAAAAAGGTGTGGATCTGTATTGCTGGATGTGTAATTGATGATGGATGTACAGTACATTGTAGGACTTTTTTGTGATTTGTTTTATAAATGAAGGACTTGTCAAAAACTGTGTAAGTGTTTCTATTTCCTGTTTACATTTTTTTGTGTAAATGAGTAGGAGTGTTATTATTATATAAATATTATTATACAGGATTTATATAGGATTTATATAGCGCCAAACGTTTGCACAGAGCTAAGGGGAGTCCGTATCTGGGTGCTCACTTATTTTAGGAAAAAGGCCTTTGTCCTCATCAACATGGCTAGATTGTGCTATGGCAAGGGCGGCATAGAATCCACATGTTGAAGGCAGGTGGCCTGGTATGTTTCAGGAGGTGGGGACCACACTCAACCCCCCCCCCCCCGCATGTTTGAATAAAGTATGGCCTAAATTTCTGGAAGATACCTCCACTTTTTGTGTGGGATCCCAAGGTCTGATATGTATTTTAGGGTAAGCCCACGTTGTTTTTTTTGTGGGGGGGGGGGGGGGTCCCCAGGATAAGGGTCTGGTGTAGATGAAGGAAATCCCTGGCCAGATAACTGACTGGAAGTAAAGCAGTCAACACTGTCATTTGCTGCCAATTTGAACAGCATTTTTTTCTTTGTAAATGTAAGTTTTGCTGTAGTATGTTGTATACATTGGATAGATGTGCCACATCACAGGCAGGTTAGGGGCATCCCCTAAGGCAAGTTATGTAAAGGAATTTTGCATTTTTTAATGTGTCCCTTAAAGCCTTATTAAAATCACTGTCCTCCACCAAGAGGAATTTTTTGTAAATTCAGCTGAATTTGCAAAATCACAGCTGCAATCATTCAGAGGTAGAATTAAAGGTTTAGTGTAATATGACATATGGTAATTAAATAGTATACTTTTTATAGAGTTTTATATATCAGACCAAAAGGCACAACTAAGGAGGAAAATGGGAAAGAGGGATTTGAAGCAGAGGAGAGACAGTCCCTTCAAATAAGGGGCAGTTGTGGGCTATGGTAGCCTCTATTTAACCTCATGTCACTAGTTTCTCATTTCTTCTGTAGCATGTCTGCAGTGTTTGACTTTAACCTCCCTAGCGGTATGATTATGTCCATATTTCTGTGCTCAAAGCGGCACATTTTTTTGCATGGAAATATGTAGTTTATTTATTGTAGGTCTGTCATTTTTACGAATAACTCACTGAAATCTGTCCCAACCGAAACAAGAGTCTAGTAAACATCCCGGTAGGATAAAACTTGAAACACGAAAAATCATAAATTATAATTTAATAAATAATGATAAAAATTAATAATATAATAATAATAAATTTAATTCAATAATATAATCAAACCAAAAACACTGAAATTTGAAATATAGCGCCAAGTTCGCACATCACTGAGCAAAGTCGCAAAATCGTTTTCAGTGTCTGATGACGAATTTCCCCACAAATCATTATCACTCAATTCTGCAAGTGGTTCTAATTTACTATCGCTGTTCTCTAGCTGGTCTAAAACCGCTTTTGACCTAAGGGGACACTTTTTGGATGCCATGGACATTTCTCAGTTTCCAGGCAGAAAGAACAGTAAAAATGCAGGCAGGGCACAGGACACAGCACTAGGGACAAAATGTATGTGAAATGGTTTGAAACAGTAATGTTTTACTATGTGATTTTAGTGATTTTTATGAATGTCACTTTTTGTCATTTTCAAATTTCCCGCCGTTCCGTCCCCGTACGTCCCAACGCTCGCAGGGGACGGAACCCAGATGACAGATGCCGGCATCCGCCGGAGGACATTGCCAGAGGACATTGCCGGGGACACTGCAGGAGGGACATCGCGGGAGCGCAGGACAAGGTAAGTGATCGAGGGATCCCGGAGCAGCGCCGCATGGTAAGCCCGAGTGTAGCTCTTGTTACCACTTGTGGTACTGAAACTTTACCCTGAGTTACACTTGGGAATACCGCCAGGGAGGTTAATTTATTTTAGTATATCTACAGTCTCTAATAATCCTTTCTAGCATAATATATACTTAACATTATTTGAAGCCCTTTGATAATGTCAAGGGCCTCAACTGAGGTCACCTATACCTAATAAGTAGACAACTATAGGCTTAACCTGTCAACCCTAAAACTCGCCATACACAGATTTTCATCAAAAGTTCATAGAAAAAGCATTTGTTAAAATGTTTTGTTGAATCTTTCTAAAGTCCTTGAACTGCTTTTTGAATAGGATCCCACACGTATTGAACAGGATTCATTATCCAATTTTTACAAAGTGAAAACCCCATTTACAGTTAAAATTTTGTTTATTTGAGAAAAAATTTCCAAATAATTTCAAATGGGCAAAAACTAATTTGATCCCAATAACCATTAGAATGTTCCAAAAATGAACATTACAGGTAGGTGGAGAACTCACCTAGTGCTGCCATGATAACATACCAGAAGCATGGAGACAACAAAGACAAAAATGACACTTGGAATATCCAGTTACAGTGACTGTGCCTTATTGTCCTGTTAGACAGCATTGGGTGTAAGGCTTGAAGTGCCTTATGTATTTTATCGAACAACTACTTTTTCACCTATTTTTATTTTATTTATTAATTTTCTTAATATTGCAGCATTTTTGGTCTGCCTATAATCTACTATTCCTGATTTAACACTAGTTCAAATACAAACTATTGCTCTATAAACTATGTTTCTGGGAAAAGGCCTAATATTCTTTTATGTCCTTTCCTTGTTCAAGTATGAATGTGTTAAAAGCCAAATATAAACCACAGCTTTTTAATTATGACAGTTATTTTTATTGTTTGTTATTAAAAGAACATTTGATGGAGCCAACTGCTGCTAGGTTTTTGTAAACTCCTCCAAGGATTAAAGATGAGCATAGAAGTGGGATTATATTCATGGAATTGTTTCCACCTTAATTCCGTGTAATCTTATTGATCAGGATTTTTCACTGGTACAAACTCCGCTGTTTATATATACATTTTTTACATTTAACTAAATTCAACATACACAACAGACATATCAGTTTTATTAAAGAGCAACTTTTTATGGAAACTTTCAAATTATAAAAGGCCTTAGAAAAATCAGAAAGGTCAGCTATAGATAAACATCCGTGTCTTCAGTTTCACAGTATTGCTAATGATTCACTTTAGATTTACATCTAAAATAACTTGCTTATATTAGCTTGGATCTGTCATTTAGACGTGTCAGCGGCATTGTTACTTAGTTAGCTAGGTTAAAAATAGACAAAAGTCCATCTAGTTCAACCAATATAGAATAAAAAAAGAATAGAAAACCTCCATATACACAATCCTATATTCACAGTTTATACAGAGGAAGGCAAAAAAAACCTCAAATAAAGCATTAACTAATTTGCTCCAGCGGGGGAAAAAATATCCTTCCTAATCCTCCAGGATCCATGGTGTTATTACTTGAAAATTATAGGTTATATTTTGTGCATTTAGGCTCCATGAACACTAGCTTAAAAAACCGCCTGTGCTTTTGACAGAAAAAAGTTTTGAGTGTTTTTGTACTAGCGTTTAGGAGCATTTAGAGTTTTTTTTTCTTTTCTGCCAGAAAAACTCTCTCAAAAATGCAAAACAGAAAGGTCTTTTTCTCTACATCTAAATGCTGAGCTTAGAAACTGTCTCTAAACTACCTAATGTGCATGGACACATAGGATAACATTAGTTGCTTCTAAAGGCAAAGTGCTAAACTCCACTAGGAGCAGCGTTTTTTAAAGCTAGTGTGCACGGAGCCTTAGGAAAGCATCCAGTTCTTTTTTAAAAAGTGGCTGGCCAGAACTAGTTCTTGAGGGAGTGTTTTCCACATGTTCGCAGCTCTTACTGTGAAGACGCATTTCCATATGTGGAGGTTAAATCTCTTTTCCTCCAGATGTAAAGAGTGCCCCTTTGTCCTCTGTAATAACACCAAGTTCACTATATGTACCACTTATGCATTTATAATAGAGATCATATTCCCCTTAATCGTCTCTTCTCAAGACAGAATAAATTCAGTTCAACATGATTGGCATGTCTGGATGACAAAATTGTTGTTGGATTTTGACAAATCAAACGGTACTATAGAACATGTGCTCATTCACCTGGAGGGGTAGATTCCTGAGGGCCCCTTATTCTAAAGGGGGCTTCCAGATTCTTATAAGTCTCCTCCATAGTCCTACACATCCCTTTTGGGGTACAAGATGTAAGGGTGTGGCCCTTGTACCCTCAACATTGGTGACGAGGTGTCTTGAAAGGGAAGGACCTTTGCCAACACCCCCCCCCCCCCCCCCCCACCACACTTCTTGAGAGGTACAGTAACCTCCAAATGTTGAAGGCATGTGGTCTGGTATGGTTTAGGGAACCGTAAGGCTTCACACTCCCTGCTACTCTTTCCTGGCCACCCAGACTGCATGTCTGGATAAGGATCTTGTTCAAGTATATTATATTTATAGGGGGACCCTATACTGTTTTTTTTCTTAAAGTGCTAGTACACTATTAAAAATGTATAAAAAAGGCATGGGTCCCCAAACAATTCATAAAGACCCTTATGCCGGTAAGCAGCCTGGCTGGCAAAGAGATGAGGGGGGTCACAAGTGTGCACCTCTGCTCCTGAACCATACCAGCTCATATGACTTTATCACTTGCAAGTTTGGTGGCAGAATCTGAAAGCCCTCTTTAAAATAAGGATACATAATATCCCTTGGTACTCATTCGCAAAAAAAAGAAAAGAAAAGAAAAAGTATGTAAAAATAACCACATCGTGAAAAAAGTTCTTGAAAAAATTGTATCCCACAATGTAAATCCAACACCAATTATGTTCTTAGGCAATGCAGACACATATCAAACACAATGATTGCTGCCCGACAATGTCAACCTGCTGCCACGACAATCTACCACCTACTCCACTGCTTCACCAGACCAAAATGACTGATTCCCTGCCGGTCCTCTTTTGGCCCATTATGACACCCTGAATCCAAGTCAACTTCTTTGCAAACAGAAGATCTATCATGTCATACTGCTACCACTGCAAAATGAACAGCTTTAAGCTGATGTTTGCTTCCAAATATGGCCAGTTTTTTCACTTGTTTGACCACCTGAAGCTCATCCCTAGTCCTGACCATAGTAAATAAAGAGTGAAAATCTTCATAAAAATCCCTATACATTCCTTTTAAAGTGTATGTCCAGTAAAAAATTTTTAGTTTTAGTCCCACGTGCACACAGGGTGTTTGGCCAGTTCTCCTTAATGCCTTTGTTCCTGACAGCAGTGTTTTGGCAGAAAAAACACTTGAGGCATGTAAGGCACATCAATATAGGCAACACAATGGCACCACCTGCCTCAAGTATGTAAGCAGGTTTAAATGCTGGTTAGTGAGACAGATGCTGCCCCAGCCAGGAAGGGAAGAGTTAACCCAAGCTCCTGAACTTGATGCTGAGCTCTGCCCCTAGCTTTGAGCTGATAAAAAAGGGAGGAGGGCTCTGCCCAGATACAGAGTCTTGTTCTCAGCTCTTGGCCAGTTCCAGTCTGTCATGCTGAATTCGGAGTTCCTGCTGATGATCACTTGGCTTCAGGAACTTTCCCCAATAGAGGGAGACTGCTGGGATCTGTTGTCTGCCCTGAATATACCAGCCCTATATAGGATACCACCAGCATGTACTCTGCCAAGTATGGACTTTTTTCTGTGCAGGTATGCTGGGGCAGCAAAAGAGTTAGGGATTGGGGATGTAAGGGAAAGACTGCACATTCCTTTAAAGTTGTAAAGTTTGGAACTTTCAGTAAAGCTCTTGAAGCCTTTGCCTGGTCTTAAGTTCTTAAGGTGTATGTAAGTAACTGGCACACACATGTAGTTTCCAGCCTGGGTCAGAAAGCACATTGAGGTATGAAGACAATGAGTGGTTACCAAGGGTAATGGAGGTCTGACAAGCAGCCTGTCGTGAAGTATATACGTGTGAGAGGTAGGACATCCTCTTGTAGTGAGGGAGTTGTTTCCAGCCTTATCCCCCTATCCTGTGCATTAGGTACAGAAGAACAAGAGTTAAGTGAGTACGCGCATGGAGCCCGCTCTAAGCTCACAGCGATGCCCTATCCTGATGCTGGGAGTGAGATAGAGAAGACAGCTGGACAGGTGGAGTAAGCAAAGGGTCAAAGTGTCCCTCTTAAATACAGCTGTGACAGCAAAGGTGTACATTGACAAAGGGACAAGAGAGTTAACTGTAGGACAGTTTATTGTTCAAGTGTACAAGGTGCATGGCCATCTCTAAAGTTGGAGGTCCGCCTTAAGGTTGAGTTTTCCCTGAAAGCTGTCTCCACCCCATCCCCTGGAGCATTAAAGAGCATGGCACAAGTAAAGGTACCCCATGTGCTAGAGGAGTGACCCATCCTAGGTGCCTACCATAGCCCAGAAAAATCCACCCTGGGGGTAGTCATCTAATGTGACCCAGACGTGGCACCCAATGAGGAGGGGAACATGGCGAAAGTACCACCTGGCTACCCCTACAAGTTTGTATGTTTTTCTTGTTCCTGCTTGGCTTTCCTCCAACACTCCAAAGATATACTAGGTTAATTGAATCCTGTCTAAATTGGCCCTGGTATGTGTATGTATGAATGTGAGTTAGGTACCTTAGCTTGTTAGCTCCTTGAAGGCAAAGACTGAGGTGACTGTACAATATATATGTAAAGGGCTGCGTAAACTGATGGTGCTATGTAAATACCCGTAATAAATAAATCAGTCACTTGGGAATTAATTAATTTCAGGCCAGAATAATAATTTATTCTGATCATTGAAATTAACTAATACTGAAGTGCTAATTGGGCCTAGTGTTAACATGTATTTAGACGCATTTACGCGTGTCAAGTGTTTTTTCTGCTCCTAGACGCGCTGGCAGTGAGGTTTTTTTTTTCCAGCCTCTAAAATGCTCCTGACTCTCCTAGATGTATGCATTGACATATAGACTAACATGGAGGGGTGTTTAGAGACAGAAAGAAAAATGCCAGACACCCCTAAAAGCTGTGTTTTTTAATGCTCAGTGTGCATAAGGCCCTAAATGTACACAGAAAGTGCCAAGCCTCCGGTGATACCATAAAAACTAAAGATCAAAAATGAACAGCACATCAAAAGAATGTCCTTTAAAGCTCTTTTACTAAAGCATTTTTTTTTTAAAAAAAGAAAAACAGCAAAAACAGCATTCCATTGATGTTTCTGGGACACGTAGGGCCCTCTGATCAAGATGAAGTGGACCGATATGTAAAACCCTGAGTTCTAATTTTACCTTTTTTTAAAAAAAAGTTTAGACATAAATTTAAGTTAACTCAATGGACTGACCATTTGGAAACTCGGGCGCTGCCCGAGGGCCCGGGGTCAGTAGGGGGCCCCATGAGATGCCCCTGGTACCTTTTTCATAGGCTTTTTTGAGTTTGGGCAAGGACACACGGACCCCATGATCCCCTATTGCCCGGGGGGTCAGTAGGGGGGCCCCATGAGATGCCCCTGATACCTTTTTCATAGGCTTTTTTTGAGTTTGGGCAAGGACAAAGGAGCACCATGATCCCCTATTGCCTGGGGGGTCAGTAGGGGGCCCCATGAGATGCCCTGGTACCTTTTTCATTGGCTTTTTTGAGTTTGGGCAAGGACACAGGGGCCCCATGATCCCCTATTGCCCGGGGGCCCCATGAGTTGTCAGTCTGCCCCTGGTTAACTCAAACGTTAACATTGTACCTACAGGTAAGCCTTACAATAAGGCTTACCTGTAGGTAGAATATCTCCCAAATGTGCACTGGACAGGAGTGCTCAACCTTTTGAAGAGCAGGGGCCACTTAAGTGATTTGGTAACTGGTCGTGAGTTTCAAAAGTTTTACTTTGAACAGGATAAAAAACATTTTTCTACTGCAGCTGCTAAAATACCAGGGGGAGGTGGAGGAGAAGAAGCTGGCTTTCAGCAATTGCAGGAAGAAAATGGAGAGGATTGCTGCCCCCATTACCCCTCCTGTCCAAGTGTAAAAAAGAAAGTGACAGGGAGGCCTCACAGTCCCCCTGGAGCCTGGGGCGGGGTCACCATTCTGACCCTCTGATGCTACATTAGCAGCACTGTCTTAAATATTGATTGGACCCTGGGCAAAATTTTTCTTTGCCCACTCCCCATGAATTTCAGCTCTCCACCTGCCCTGACACATACAATAAATAGCAGCTAAACTCAAAATGAATTTACTGCAGCAGATCAGGCAGCAATTGCAAATGATTGCTAGAGGTTACAGCATATAATTACCACTCACTGACTTGGTTGCTAGAGGTTACAGCATACATTACAGCTCAATGATTAGTTGCTAGAGGTGACAGCACATGATTAATGTTTGCTGATTGGTTGCTAGAGGTTATTGCACATCATTACTAGTCACTGGTTGGTTTGCTAGAGGTTACAGCACACATTACAGCTCAATGATTAGTTGCTAGAGGTTACAGCACATGATTAATGTTTGCTGATTGGTTGCTAGAGGTTACTGCGCATCATTACTAGTCACTGGTTGGTTGCTAGAGGGTACAGCACATTATTACCACTCACTGATTGGTTGTTAGAGGTTTCTGCACATAATTACTGCTCACTGGTTGGTTGCTAGAGGTTACAGCACTTAATTATGTCTCTCTGATTGGTTGCTGAAGGTTACAGCACATCATCTCCTCACTGCCTGCACACCATGGACTGAGAAGGTTAGGTGACCCACAAATAGTCAGAAAACTCCTAGGACTCTTAGAATCAATGGCAGTGCTGGTGGGGAGGGGGGGGGGGGGTGATCAGTGGCAGTGCTGTGGGGATGATTGATGGGATCAGTGGCAGTGGTGGGGAGGATGGGATGAGTGACAGTGCTGATGAGTGAATGGGATCAGTGGCAGTGCTGGATGGGGATGGGAGGTGACATTTTTACACTGACCACCATTGTTAGGGGGGATTAAAACTGATGACCAATCTAAGGGGGACCTACACTGACTACCAATGTAACAGCGATTCTCCACTTACCACCAATGTAAAGGGAAATTTTCACTGGCCACCAATATAATGGGGAATTTGCACTGACCACCAATGTAATGAAGAATTTACACTGACAACCAATGTAATGGGAGATTTTACACCAACAACCAATAAAGTTCTACACTGGCCACCAATATAAGGGGGAATCTACACTGACCACCAGCAGAAGGGTTGATGGCTGGAACCCTGGGGGGGAGGGCATAATATACATATGAATGCCACATTGCCACCATTATTTGCATAGGAATGCCACATTGCCTTTGCTATTCACATAGGAATGCCACATTGCTGCTACTATTTACATATGAATGCTGGTTATTTACATGTGAATGCTGATATGGTCTGAACATGCCAGTCATTGTACATGGCAATAGGACAGAGCTGGGCAGTATAAGTGATAGCACTTCACACTGAATTATCGGACACAGCCCGGGACAAAGACTTCCAGAGACAAGGGAATGTATACCAATACAGTTGGCAAGTAATGGACAGCTGCTTTGGGCCCCAAAACAATGACTGGTCCCAGGGCAGCTGCCCCTTTTGCCCCTCCATAACCTCCCTAACGGTATTCCCGAGTGTAGCTCGGGGTAAAATGTCAGTACCAAAAGCGGTAACCCCGAGCTACACTCGGGCTTACCATGCGGCGCTGCATAAGGAGTCCCTGCAGCACTTACCTTGTCCTTCGCTCCTGCGATGTGTCCCCTGCAGCGTACCCGGCCATCTCCTCCGGCTGATGCCGGCATCCGGCTTCTGTGTTCCGGTCCCTGTGACGTCGGGACGTACGGGCGCCGGGAAATTTGAAAATTTAAAAAAAGTCATTTTTTTCAAAACGATTTTTACATAGTAAAACATTGCTGTTTCAACCCATTTCACATACATTTTGTATGTCCCTACTGCTTTGTCCTGTGCCCTGCCTGCATTTTGAATGTTGTTTTCTGCCTGGAAACTTAGAAAAGTCCATGGCGTCCAAAAAGTGTCCCTTTAGGCCAAAAGCAGTTTTAGATCAGCTAGAGAACAGCGATAGTAAATCAGAACCACTTGCAGAATTGAGTGATAATGATTCGTGGGGAAATTCGTCATCAGACACTGAAAACAATTTTGCGACTTTGCTCAGCGATGTGCGAATTTGGCGCTATATTTCAAATTTCAGTGTGTTTGATTATATTATTGAATTAAATGTAATATTATTATTATATTATTATTTTTTATGATTATTTATTACATTATAATTTATGATTTTGTGTTTCAAATTTTATCATACCCGGGATGTTTAATAGACTCTTGTTCGGACAGATTTCAGTGAGTTATTCCTAAATATTACAGCGTACAATAAAAAAACTACATATTTCCATGCAAAATAATGGTACCACTTTCAGCACCAAAAATCTGAAATAATCATACCGCTAGGGAGGTTAAAGACGGCCCTGGGTTGGAGGGGTGTGGAAAAAACACGTCTCAACTATGGGGCTTTACCACCCCCAAACCGCAAATGATCTCTTATTGTCCTGAGACCCCTACAGTATAAAGCTGCTTTCTCACTGATGCACTGCGGTTTACCCACACTGAGGGTACAGTGCAGTGCACCTGCTGCTTTTCTGCAGTTAGCTGCACTTTGCCATAGACTTCTATAATATCCTGCAGGTGTGGTGCACTTTCTGAAAGCACACCCAAATTCCTGCATTCGGGAGTTTTGGTGCGCTTTCAGAACGTGCAACAAACCCTCAGGATATAATAAAAGTGAATTTTCCTGGTTTGAGGTCAAGGACCATATCAGAGTGCTCTAAGGGCCAGAGGTTGAGCATTCCTGGTTTAGGAGATATTCAAACTGACAATAGCCAATGATGTTACCCACACATGTGCAGTGATATTCTGCATTCAGAGCACACATCAAGCGTTGTGGCCCAGCCATTCAATTGGCCGTAGAGAGCCAACCCAGAAGGAACTGAAGATGAAGTGCCTGCAGCGGTGACAGTATGGTGCTGGACTGGAAGACTTTGATTGAAAAGTAAGTTTGTCATAATGTGCTAGTATGCGGTGCACATTATGGCATTAACCTGCAGGGGACCCAAATATATATATATATTTTATACTTTGCTATGGTTTTAAGATAATAGGGTTGATTTACTAAAACTGGAGAGTGTCAAATCTGGTGCAGCTCTGCATAGAAACCAATTAGCTTCCAGGTTTTTTGTCAAATCTTAATTGAACAAGCTGAAGTTAGAAGCTGATTGGCTACCATGCAAAACTCCACTAGATTTTGCACTCTCCAGTTTTAGTAAATCAATCCCAGTGTCTGCCACCCTTAAGGCCAGCTTCATAACTGCCTAAACAGTGGCTAAGTAGTTAGCACTTCTGCCTTGCAGCACTAGGGTAATTGGTTTGAATCCCAAACACAGCACCACCCGCCTGGAGTTTACATGATCTCCCTGTGCCTGCATGGGTTTCCTCCGGGTACTCTAGTTTCCTCCCACACTCCAAAGACATGCTGGTAGGTTAATTATCTTCTGTCTAAATTGGCCCTAGTATATGTATGTATGACTGTGAATTAGAAACCTTAGATTGTAAGCTCCTTGAGGGCAAGAAATGTATAAAATATATGTAAAGCGTTAGTAATGGAGGGAGGGGGAGAGTGAGGCCCATAATAAGGTCTCACCCCTTGTTGGTAGGTTTTAATGGTGCCACACCCCTTATTGACAGGACACTGACAAATATGAAAACCCTAACTGGAAAAACTAATGGGGCTTTAAGAAGCACCATATCATGAAATGAATATATACTCAAAAAAATATAAAAAGTACAACTTTATTGACAGAGTTAAAACCACAGTTGTGGTAGTGATATTTGAGCAACCACAACGCTCATCATAAAAAGCATACAATGCTTATAACAAACAGGTTCAACACATAACATTCTAGGGTATGACCTTAGGTAACATAAGTACCAGGTAACATAAGAACCATGGTTGACTTTACCTAAGGTCATACCCTAGAAAGAAATGCCTGTAGCGAATAGGGAAGAATGGAAAATAGCGCAGGGCATACATGACTAGGCCCAGAGTGGTGTAGGGAACGGAAGGGTTAAATTTAGCTCCAGGGGGTGGGGAATTGATTGGGGAATTATAGCATTGGCAGATGTGGAGTGTAGGAGGGGTTTGTGGTACCTTAGGGTGGGGGGTTCTGCGGAAGGGGCGTCAGTGGAGCTGGACGTGGCAAGGACCAGAGCTTCGTGCGAGGACCGGCGCTTCATGTGAGCTGGGTCCTGTTCTTTTTCCCCCTATCTGACCTTTTCAGCATGGAGGGCCTTTTGGCGCAGCTGCGGGTGGCTGCTGAAGAGAGAGGTACGGGCTGGTTGCAGGGCTGGGTCTCTGAGCTGTTGGGAGACCCGGGCTTGTCACCAGCTGCAGGGGGGCGGACGCGCCCACGTGATCGGCGGTCGCGGCCTCCGGAGCACTTCAGTCCGGCCACACCCCCTGTTGGAGCTCAGCGCCGCACTGGGAGCCCCCCTCGGGACCCTCCGGCCCCGCTGGCAGGGCGCTCTCCTGCCTCTGCTAGCGGCGGTGCCAGGAGGAATCCCCGGCGATGGCGGAGCTCGTCGGGCGGGGTTTCGCTCAGTGGTCCCTCCCCCCCCCCCCCGCACAGCGAGGAGGACGCAGAGGGAGCTCGGCGGGCGGGGTTTTGCTAAGTGGCCCCTCCCCCCCACCCACACAGCGAGGAGGACGCAACGGGAGCTCAGGGGGCGGGGTTTCGTGAGGTAGCCCCTCCCGCCCGCCCGCACAGCGAGGAGGACGCAGCGGGAGCTCGGGGGGGGTGGGGTTTTGCAAGGTAGCCCCTCCCCCCGCCCGCACGGCACAGAGGAGGCAGAGGGAGCGCAGGTACCGGCTCCGCCGCTGACAGGGTGTCTGTCAGGGTGGGTGCTCAGCGTGGGAGGCGTTCAGCTGCGGCTGCCGGGCTGTCCCCTGATGCGGCTGGTGGGCCCCCTGGACAGTCGGGAGCTGGGGCTCCAAGAAGATGGAGGAAGAGGTGCAGCGCTGGGCGCAGTGCAGCTGGGAGTGCTGCAGGCCGGAGCCCAGGGACGGCGACTGGCGTGGCTGGTGCCCAGAGGCGGAGTCAGGAGCGGCACAACCCTGCGGGACCCGTGGCTCCTGGGACCGGGAGGCCATCCGGACGTCGAACGGTGGATGAGAGGTCGGAGGGCGAGCTGTCGGAACCCGATGCGGGGGCAACGGCTCGCCGCTCTTCATCGATGGAGCGAGAGCGCGCGGCTGATGGGACATCTCCTGGGCAGCCTGGTGAGTTATCTGTTCCTGTGTCTGTCTCCCTTTCTTCTGCGTTGCGGGATCTGCTGGGGGGCGGCCGGATCGGCAGCGTGCGTTGGCGGCGTTCCCCTGTCAGGTTTGGGTGGGGGCCTCGGGGAGGTGATTTCCGGTTTACGGGACTTGTTGCGGCGGCTGGAGTGGGGCGGTGTTGGGACCCCTGGGCCTGCTTCTGCGTGGCTCCCGCCGGCCGGTGGGGACGGGCTCGCGGTTCCTGGACTGGACGAAGGGGTGGGGCGGGGCCTGGGGGTCTCTTCTTCGCTTTAGTTCTGGGACTGGGGTGCTTACCGCGGAGTCTGGGGTTGTGGGCTCTGCGGTTCCTTCCGCGGTTTTGGGGGAGGGTTTGGGGGTGTCCGGACCTGTCGGCGTGGCGGACTCTGCGAAGGGGGAAGTGTGTGTGTGTTTCGAGGGCCCCTTGGGAGCGCATTTGCAGTCGGACGTACGGGAACGAATTTGGAACGGGGAGTATGTGGACATATTCACACTCTTGCCTTTGGAGCGTTTTCCGTTTGATGGGTCCCGGGTTGATGACGGTAGACGGGAGGATGCGGAGCGGCGGCGTTTTCGGCTTATCCCCCGTACTTTTGCGAATTGGTTGCAGGCTTTCGCGATAATGGCCAGTGTCATTGGGGAGAAAGCTCCGGAGCATTGCTCGGCGTTGTTCTGTTACCTGGACGCCATTAGTGAGGCTCACAGGGTTTACGGCGGGGCTGCGTGGCTTCGGTATGATGAGCAGTTTAGGCAGCGGAGGGCTGTTCGCCCGTCGTTGCGTTGGGACCATAAGGACATTGGTCTCTGGATGCGGCTCATGGCGCCGCCGAGGGCCCCTGGTCCGTTTTTTCAGGGCGGGGCCGGTGGTTCGTTTTCCCCGGGACAATCGGCCGCCAAGCGTAGGAGTTTCTGCTGGCAGTTCCAGGAGGGCACTTGTCGTTTTGGAGGGTCCTGCCGAGTTTAGGTTTCATGAGAGTGTTGTGGGTGGAAAGGATGGGGCATTTCTTAAATCCATATCCTGATCGGGCTGCGGTGGATCCCACCCTTTTTGACTTTGGTCCCCCCCTTAGCTCGGAATTTACGGTCGGCCTTGCAGCATGCTGAGGTGGTTTCGGCTAAGTTGCGGAAGGAAGTGGGGTTAGGTCGTATGGGTGGTCCGTTTCCTTGTGCTCCGTTTGCGGATCTGGTAGTTTCTCCCTTGGGGGTTGTGCCTAAGAAAGAGCCGAATGCGTTTCGGTTGATTCACCACCTGTCCTTCCCTAAGTGGGGGTCGGTGAATGACGCTATAGATCCAGAGTCGTGTTCGGTGTCTTACACGTCCTTTGATGCGGCAGTGTTCTGGGTTCGTCGGTATGGGCGCGGTGCACTCATGGCGAAGTCCGACATTGAGTCGGCGTTCCGGCTGTTGCCGGTTCATCCGGACAGTTTTCGTTTTTTGGGTTGCCGTTGGCAGGGCGCGTTTTACGTTGATAAGTGTTTGCCCATGGGGTGTTCTATCTCTTGTGCGTTGTTTTGAAAAGTTCAGTTCGTTCGTGGAGTGGGTGGTTCGGGATGTTTCAGGGGTGAATTCGGTCATCCATTATTTGGATGATTTTCTTTGCGTGGGTCCGCCGGCTTCTGGGGTGTGCGCGGTCTTGCTTGCTACGTTGCAGCACGTTGCTGAACGTTTTGGGATTCCTTTGGCGGCTGATAAGACGGAGGGTCCGGCTTCGGTGATGACTTTCTTAGGCATCGTTTTGGATTCTGGCGCAATGGAGTGCCGGCTGCCTGCGGAGAAGCTGTTGGCCCTCCAGGGTGAAATTCACGCGGTTCAGGGGAAGCGAAAAATTCAGCTGCGGCCCTTGCAGTCATTGTTGGGAAAACTTAATTTCGCTTGTCGGATCCTGCCGATGGGTCGGGTGTTCTGCCGCCGGTTGGCGGCGGCGACGGCGGGAATTGCCTCCCCTTTTCATTTCATTCGGCTGACTCGGGAGCATCGGGAGGATTTGCAGTTGTGGCACACCTTTTTGGATTCTTTCAACGGGCGGGCACTTTGGATGTCTGGCCCGGTTAGTAATTTTGACTTGGAACTGTTCACGGACGCGGCGGCTTCTGCGGGTTATGGGGCCTTTGGAGCTTTTTCCAGTGGTTTTGGCGGTTGAGGTTTGGGGGGAAAATTTTTGGAATCAAAAGGTGCGTTTTCACTGTGACAATTTGGGGGTGGTTCAGGTCATCAATAGGGTCTCGGCTTCTTCCCGACCGGTGGTGGCCTTGCTTCGCCACTTAGTGTTGCGTTGCTTGCAGCTGAATGTTTTTCTCCATGCGGTACATCTCCCTGGGGTTGACAACACCTTAGCTGACGCTTTGTCTCGTTTTCAGTGGGACAAATTCCGAGAGTTGGCGCCAGCGGCGGAGCAACACGGGGTTCCTTGTCCCGACTAGCTGTGGGAGATTGCCTTGGAGTTGTTGCGGGCTGGATCCGGCGGTCGGTGAGTGAGGCGACTTGGTCCGCTTACTCTACGGTCTGGCGGGAGTGGATGGATCTGTTGCGATTGGCCGCTATTGATCCCTGGGGGCCGGAGGTGCGTGTGGCGGTGTTGTACTTCTTGGCGCGGAGTTTGGAGCGGGGGGTGTCGGCGTCCGCGGTGGATCGCCGACTGGCGGGATTGGCGTTTTTCTTTAAGTTACAAGGGTGTCGGGATTTCACTAAAGATTTTTGGGTTCGAGAGGCTCTGCGGGGTTATCGGAGGGCGCATCGTTGTAGGGATTCTCGTCGTCCGGTGTCGTTTGAGTTGTTGGGGGTTTTTTTTGAGCATTTGCGGACTGTGTGTTCTTTGGATTTTGAGGTGGTTTTATTTCGGGCTGCCTTTGCGGTGGCCTTTTTTGGGGCGTTGCGGATTGGGGAGCTCGTTAGTCCGTCCAAGTCAGTTCTTGGGGGGTTGTTGGTGGAGGAGGTT